TCGATTAACAAATTTTGTACATGTGACGAATTTCAGGTGACGAATTTCGTGTATCAACTTTTTTGCGCCGGACCATATCTGGTTATAACGTTAAACCGGCGCGATTGTTTAGCTATACAAGATAAAAATTTTCGTTAACGGCATAATCACGTGGACATTTGAGTTGTTGGTTCATGTTACACGGCGAATATATTTTCCAATAGAATGATTAAACAATGTCACAACTCCATATTAATATTCAACTTTCAGGTGCAAATAAAAAGGTTAAAACGTCCCTTTGTCAGATGAAAATGCAACATCCCGTGTTAATGAACTCTGAAAGATGTTATTAATAATAATAATAATTGTTGTCACGTGATATACTAGTTAAACCGGTTAATATGGTTTAACCAATAATAACCGGTCTCTGGCTAAACCGGCCGAAAAACAGCAATTCGGCCGGTTTAGAGAGATTTCACTTGTATATGTAAAATTTGCTATGAGAATCGTTAAGTCCTGCTATCATTATCAGATTGTGCGATCTGCAATGTTGATGTGAAGAGGACACTAAACTATATTAATATCATTGCCTATTTGAATTACGTACATATTTTAAAGGCGGCTCTATCCAAGCTTACTTTTATCATCGATGGTCATACTTTGTTGGTCGGAGTCGGGGTTTATTATTGAGAGTAGCAAAATTATGTGCTGCTAGTCGATGAATTGTTTAGAACAACGTCTCTGGATGGTTAATTCAGAAAAGATCCGTATTTCAATCTCTATACAACATATTATAAATTTTAGTCTATTGATTGAGTCTCTGATATATAGCAGACAAATTCTGCGCTAAAATACCCGATTGTACATGATCGATACGTATATTATTCATATCGAATAATGATAATAACAACACTAATAAAGTAATGTTAATCTGTTATGTACAATTTGTTTTGTCATCTGATAAACCACCGGACAGTTATATTAATTGTCCGAGACAACCCGAGTAAATGCGACAATAGTTAATTGGTTTGTTAATTCAAGGAAATTATGGGCAGAATAAATTCGTGACTGAAACTGATACTTGTGAAAATGCTCTGTCTGGTTTTCTAAGCAATGTTAACTGATACTTTAATTAACAGACCAAAAGTCGGTAATGAATCATAATAGCAAATAATTACGTTGTTCATTGATCAGGAGGTCAACATGTTAAACGAAAATGCACATGTTATCATAAATTAGATCTGAGCACAACTGTATTATGACATTAGTATTAGGGATCGCTAATACTAAACATCCGATTGATGATCTGAAATCTCTGCCCAATATGGTAATAGGTATATCTGAATGGAATACAATTGAATATGGGAAAGTCCGGGTAGTGATGTATGACGATTTGGTACAACTCGCACATCTAATTCTGCCCGGGTGATTCAGGGACAGTTCCTCAAATTTGGTAATAGCTGTCAGGAGCAGTCGCCCAGCTGCATGAATGTTTGTTCGAATTTTATCCTTATATTTTCGTCATCATTATGCATTCACAGACGCCAATCATAAAAATTTTGAGATTGCCGTCAATTTTTTAATATTAGTATCAGTTATCAGCAGCAACTCGGTATCATCGTCAACTTTTTTTTTTTTTTGAACAATGTCCAAGACCTACACTGCCGAAGAAGTCTCTACACACAACAGCGAGTCCTCGATCTGGATCATTGTTCATGACAAAGTATATGATGTCACCAACTTTCTTGACGAACACCCAGGTGGCAAGAAAGTCCTTCTTAAAGTAGCTGGTGCTGACGCAACCAAACAGTTTGACAATTTCCATAACAAAGCCGTTCTTGAAAAATATGGCCCACAACTATATATCGGGGACATTGGCAGTGGTTCAGAGCCAGCTTCAGAACCTGACTCTGGAGATGGTCCCTTTGGTGATTTGGTTCCATTCGGTGATCCTTACTGGTATCAAGATTTTCACAGTCCATACTACAATGACTCGCATAGACGGATGAGGGCTGTAGCGAGAAAATTTACCGATACCGAGATCACACCCTATTGCCACGAATGGGACGAACAGAAGAAAATACCAACGGAGCTATTTCGCAAGGCAGCTGATGCTGGCATTTTACCAGGTCTCTGTGGCACTCCATGGCCAAAAGAGTGAGTATAGATGAGGTTGAAGATTGCACCGTACAAAGAATGTATTCAAACAATTGTGTGCGAAATAACGATCTGCTTTACGAATAGATACACCGATATCTTACCTGCTGGTGGAGTATCAACCGAAGAATATAATGGATTTCATGAATTTGTCCTTGCAGACGAATTATGTCGTTGCGGATCTGGTGGAGTAATCTGGGCTCTCGTTGGTGGTAAGTGGGAATCATTTTATATTTATTCACTGGTCGTGTTTTTTTTTTAAACAAAAGTACTCAAATCATGGTACTAACTGTTCACTGTCAATTACTCATTCTACGCGTACTTTTCAAGGCTTTGCCATTGGTCTACCGCCCGTCCTAAAGTTTGGTTCTGAGGAAATAAAACGCCGCATTTTACCGGACTGCTTGGCCGGCCGTAAGTTTATCTGTCTTGCTATCACTGAGCCGTACGCCGGATCAGACGTTGCAAACATCAAAACTGAAGCCAAACTTACCGATGATGGAAAACACTATATTGTTAATGGTGAGAAGAAATGGATCACAAACGGGGTTTTCGCTGACTATTTCACAACAGCAGTGAGAACGGGCGGACCTGGTATGGGAGGAATTAGTCTGCTATTGATAGAGAGGACTATGCCTGGTGTTAAAACTAGACAAATGCAGTGTTCTGGTGTGTGGAGTTCAGGAACGGCTTATATCACTTTCGAAGATGTTAAAGTACCAGTAGAAAATATCCTCGGAAAGGAGAATGGTGGATTCAAGGTAAGGGTGAAGGGAGGAACTCGAGGTGGAAGATATTGGTTTTGTTAGTATTCAGGGGGGATTATCAATGACGTTTCGTCTTGTCTGCATGATTAACACATTGTCTCCAATTTCAATCTTGACATTTTTGCATTCTTTCATTTTCCCGATAAATTTAGTGTATTATGCACAACTTCAACCATGAGCGTATGGGCATTGCAATTGAGGGCAATCGCTTTGCCCGTGTATGTTACGAGGAAGCAATGAAATATGCCCACAAACGCCGCACATTTGGCAAGAAACTTATTGAACATCCAGTCATCCGTAACAAATTTGCACATATGGCCAGAAAAATCGAAGCTACTCATGCATACATTGAGATAATGATTTATCAAGCAGAGACTCTCAAAGGCACTGAGGCTGCAACAAGATTGGGTGGACCATTTGCATTGTTGAAGGCTCAGGCTACGCAGACGTTCGAGTATTGTGCAAGAGAAGCCGCACAGATCTTTGGAGGCTTGTCTTATACGCGTGGAGGGTATGTTTGTCTGTTAATAAAAGAGGAAGCACGGGAGATGGGAGCATCATGGGCAAGGCTTAGCGTGAACGTGTCGTGTTCTTTATTGTAATATAACCAATTTTTTCTGTACCTTCTATTCGTTAACTAGACAAGGCGAGAAAGTTGAACGCCTTTATAGAGAAGTCCGTGCTTACGCTATCCCTGGTGGTTCTGAAGAGATTATGCTTGATCTTGGTATCAGGCAGTCGATCAAAGTTGCTCAATTTTATGGTGCTAAGCTATAGAAATCCTGTGGATCTAATGTAAACGTGCGCTTTCTAGATGGGATTTAAAGTATTTACTTATTTATTAATAAAGAGATATTGCTTAAACTTCTGTCGAATACTGTTCTCTTTTTGTCCTTTCCCGCGAAAAGTTACATTTTCAGCATAATGAATTATTCTCATTACGACACACCATTCGTGTTACGTCTGAGCATTGCTATTCTGATTATCGTCAGCTTTGCTCTTCTTTTTCTTCTTAGTCGCAGTGGTGGAAGTTGATGATTCACTGTCATCTTTGGTGGACAGTTTGTTGATGTACTTAAATTTACGAGAATCTAGTTCAAGCGTAACTGGACCCTGTACGTAATGGATGAAAGATGAGATTAGAATGTAACTTTTATGTAATGAATCTTATTTCGTATGACTCACATCATTAACAATGTTCACGACCATCATTGCTCCAAAGATACCATCTGCACAATAGACCATTTATAGAATATGTTAGATAGTTGCAACCACCAGACACGTCGTAGAAACCCTTTTGTTGCTTTCTCTGTCAACTATCGAATAATTATTTGCTTGTTTGACCAATATTAAAAAAAAAAAAAAAGATATCGAGACGGCAAGTAGTTCTAGACTTGCTGCTTTATTGGCACAGACACCAAAAATCTCCTTTTACCTTTTATCCGATCGGGAACATATGCTTGCTTTAATCGCTCAAGAAATGTTTCATATGTCTCTTTTGCCTGCGCGCTCTTCATTGCTCGATGGAAATCGGGTTTGTCTGCAAAATGTTTTTAGTTCTATGTTATAAACGCAAATGTCAGTTTAAATAAAGCAAATAAAGCTTTTACTTTTTTCTAGGCTCCCGTACAAAGTAAACTGAGATACTGCAAATAGACAAAAGTTGCATCTTGATGAATAATTAATAGTTTGATTAAATAGATAATTTTTACATTCGCTAAAAATTAGACCGTTACCGCAAAGTATTTCGAGTCCAGCATCCTTGACACTTCTTGCCCACATATTATCTCCCGCTTTATTATCGAATACCTTGACATTGAGAATCTTCCTCACCATATAATCCAAATCGTCTGATGTATCATCTTGAGCAATACCCAAGAGTATACAAAGGCCTTGATTAATCGAGGAAACTAGGCAACCATCGACTAGCACGTAAAAGTTGTGTTAGCAGACAAATAAACAAAGCATATTCATATAATATTTATCAAAGCTTACCTAATACGCTTGCGTTTAAGACTCTTTGGAGAACTGCTCGCATGTTGATTGAATTATCGCACAACAAACTAATTTGGCACATATCGATATCAATATTAATATCGACATGATAATGTTCGGACCCATTCTGGGATTTGACCCATTCTGGGATCCTGAAATGGGTTGGCCCATTTCGATTTTGCAAATCTACAGAAAATTTTTTATCATACTGACTTTATGTATAGCAAATATGAATTACATAATAATAACGATAATAAAAGAAAATTAGTGTTTCTAATTAGTTGTCGCTCTTATCAACTAGCAGTTATTTGTTAACGTTGAATACGCATAGATTACATCGCACATGTTCCCTCTAACACACAGGTTTTTATTTTTGAGTAATAGAATTTTCGTTTCGCCAATTTGCATTATACCATATAAAGAATTGGCAATTTTGATAAGCTGCACCACCCGGTTACGAAGCATCGATCATATGATTAATAGCATTGTTGAAAAATTAACAGTTCTGATATGCTGCATCATCCAGATTACGAAGTATCGATCGTATGATTATTAGCATTGCTGAAGAATTAACAGTTTTGATATGCTGCATCAATTAGATTACGAAGCATCGATCATATTATTGATAGCATTGTTGTTAAAGACGAATAAACAGCTGTTCATTTTTTAATCCTTCATGCATTCAAACTACTTTGATTATGTTATTAAAAGAAGCATCATCGCTGGTGTACCCAGTGTGTGATAATCGGAAATGATTATAAATTATCACATCGCAAAAATCGAAATGGGCCAACCCATTTCAGGATCCCAGAATTGGTCAAATCCCAGAATGGGTCCGAACAGCACCATTAGCAACCATCGAGCTTTGACAATTCCAGGATTAGTTGCATCAAAAAGAAAATGCTGATATTTTTGCGAACCATTCAATTTCTTAAAGAAAATCCCCAACACAGAGTTAAAATCTAAGTATTGAAAGCCTTTTCCATTGTCATAACACTGAGCTTTGTTTAATCCCATTGTACTTGATTTTTTCACGACCTCAACAATATGATTCACACAATCTACCGTTGTTTTGCGGTATAATTTCTTAATCAATCCAAAACTACCATCACATTTGAATTTAGTATACCAGGTATCATAAAATTTAATTCGATAGTTTCATAATAACCGCAAATTATTAAATACAGGTAAAATCAAATGGTAGCATTATTTTTATTCTGTCCTCTCACATTGTCACAAGTAATCTTTAAATACTTTTCACCTTTATTCAATCTCTTAATACCATGCTTAGTGTGCCATTGGGGCCTGCCGATAATTTCGTCTTCATCAAGAACGTAATTAATTTGTTTACGTACCGTTTCATCTTGAATACCAAATAAATGTACTTTACGCGGACTGAGATAATAAATCGTACTTACCTGTTGATCGGAATGGGGAACATGAACGTTTTGCGCTCAATTATAGCTGTAATGAGCAGTCGCGCCAACGCTACAATAATCAGCTTTACCTCTTATTATAAACTGCTCATCGACTAATT